CAGCGTTGCCTCAAACCATGGTCTGCACAATGCCAACTCCGCAGCATGTTAATAGGGGATTTCAACTCAGCCCACGTTGGCAACGTCAAGTAAATCCTCAGGAGCAGTCCATCTGCAGCTACCTGAATTATTGCTCACAAGAGGGAACCCCTCTTATTTATAACAGCCGCCTTTCTACCTCACACAACTCAAGTCAGCTTACGATGTAAATACAGATCAAGATGGGAAGCCGTGTTAGTCTGTCCGTCGCAGGAGAAAAGAGCAAGAGTCCAGGAGCACCTTAAGGACTCACAAGATTTGTGGCAGAGTAAGAGCTTTCATAAGTCACTGCTCCAGATACAGCTAGAGTCCATAGTCCTATATATTGGAAAGTGAAGTGATTTCAGATGCCAAATGACATAAGCAGGCAAATGACAATAGCAGGTGTGATTGGATTAGGTGTGATATGCAGAGAGATAGTAGGCATGGAGAAATCAGCATTGGTAATGAGATAGGAAACCTAGGTCTCAATTCAGTCCAGGTGAATGCATTGCCTCGAGCTTTGTTATCAGTTGCAATTCAGCCGCCTCTTTCTAATCTCCCTTTGAAATTCCTTTGAAAGAGAACTGCAACTTTTAGGTCAGCAACTGAATGTCCTGGAAGCTTAAAATGTTCCCCCACTGTTTTTTTAATGTTCTGGTTTCTGATGTCAGACTTTCCAATATATAGGACAGACTGACTCACATTCCAGCTGTATCTGAAGAAGTGAGCAATGACTCCTGAAAGCTCATACCCTACCACAAATATTGTTAGTCTTTAAGGTGCTACTGGACTCTTTCATCTAATGTAAATGCAATAATTACAAAAACACATAAACTACCATCAGTTGAAGTCTCCAGTTAGCACTACCAATAAATTAAAACTAGTCAAAAAACAAAGTTTGAGTCCAGTGGCACCTTTAAGACCAACAAAGTTCAATTCTGAGTATAAACTGGACTCAAACTTTGTTCTATTGCTTCAGACCAACATAGCTACCCACCTAAACCAGCCAAATGCCGTCCTAAATGAAACTGTCTTCAACTGCCTCCTCAAGACTGAATGATTTTGCTGCCAAGCTACCAAAGGAACTATGCTCATTTCTGGAAACTCAGTTCTCCAATGGCTTATAAAACGAAAATATAACATGCTTCCAGCTAATGTCCTAATCTTTTCTCTCAAAGATTTTCAGGGAAAAATGAGTTTTCTGCATCATTACTGAGTGCTGCTTTCTTTGCCTTCCCTGTATTCTAGGCATAGAGGAGCTGTCACTGGGGGAGTGGGGAGGGGAGGTAGCTGTGAATTTCCTGCCTTGTGCAGGGGGTTGGACTAGATGACCCTTGGGAACCCTTCAAGCTCTAGGTTTCTCCCGTCTCCATTTGTTCTCACAACAACCTTGAAAGGTAAGTTAGGCTGAGAACATGTGACTGGCCTAAGGTCAGCTAAGGAGCATCATAGTCAAATAAGGCTCAAGGGGAGATTATCAAGCAAGATTGCTAAATTGTTCATTCACAAATTCAGAACAATGGGCCCCACCCCCAGGCTGAATAGGGACCTAAGAACTTATCTCACTGAAGTTGCCGGTTCTCTGCATCTCCTATCCCTTCCCCTCCCCATAATAGACACCCTACAGCTACCTGAATTATTGCTCACAAGAGGAAACCCCTCTTATTTATAACACTTGTTAGCCGCCTTTCTACCTCACAGAACTCAAGTCATCTTACGATGTAAATACAGATCAAGATGGGTAGCCGTGTTAGTCCGTCGCAGGAGAAAAGAGCAAGAGTCCAGGAGCACCTTAAGGACTCACAAGATTTGTGGCAGAGTAAGAGCTTTCATAAGTCACTGCTCCAGATACAGCTAGAGTCCATAGTCCTATATATTGGAAAGTGAAGTGATTTCAGATGCCAAATGACATAAGCAGGCAAATGACAATAGCAGGTGTGATTGGATTAGGTGTGATATGCAGAGAGATAGTAGGCATGGAGAAATCAGCATTGGTAATGAGATAGGAAACCTAGGTCTCAATTCAGTCCAGGTGAATGCATTGCCTCGAGCTTTGTTATCAGTTGCAATTCAGCCGCCTCTTTCTAATCTCCCTTTGAAATTTCTTTGAAAGAGAACTGCAACTTTTAGGTCAGCAACTGAATGTCCTGGAAGGTTAAAATGTCCCCCCACTGGTTTTTTAATGTTCTGGTTTCTGATGTCAGACTTTCCAATATATAGGACAGACTGACTCACATTCCAGCTGTATCTGAAGAAGTGAGCAGTGACTCCTGAAAGCTCATACCCTACCACAAATATTGTTAGTCTTTAAGCTGCTACTGGACTCTTTCATCAAATGTAAATGCAATAATTAGAAAAACACATAAACTACCACCAGTTGAAGTCTCCAGTTAGCACTGCCAATAAATTAAAACTAGTCAAAAAACAAAGTTTGAGTCCAGTGGCACCTTTAAGACCAACAAAGTTCAATTCTGAGTATAAACTGGACTCAAACTTTGTTCTATTGCTTCAGACCAACATAGCTACCCACCTAAACCAGCCAAATGCCGTCCTAAATGAAACTGTCTTCAACTGCCTCCTCAAGACTGAATGATTTTGCTGCCAAGCTACCAAAGGAACTATGCTCATTTCTGGAAACTCAGTTCTCCAATGGCTTATAAAACGAAAATATAACATGCTTCCAGCTAATGTCCTAATCTTTTCTCTCAAAGATCCGCAGATTTTCAGGGGAAAACATGAGTTTTCTGCATCATTACTGAGTGCTGCTTTCTTTGCCTTCCCTGTATTCTAGGCATAGAGGAGCGGTCAGTGGGGGAGTGGGGAGGTAGCTGTGAATTTCCTGCCTTGTGCAGGGGGTTGGACTAGATGACCCTTGGGAACCCTTCAAGCTCTAGGTTTCTCCCGTCTCCATTTGTTCTCACAACAACCTTGAAAGGTAAGTTAGGCTGAGAACATGTGACTGGCCTAAGGTCAGCTAAGGAGCATCATAGTCAAATAAGGCTCAAGGGGAGATTATCAAGCAAGATTGCTAAATTGTTCATTCACAAATTCAGAACAATGGACCCCCCCCCCATGGCTGAAAACGAACATCAAATTCTTATCTCACTACAGATGCTAATTTTCAGCATTTCCTAGAAGAAAAAGAGGAGGAGGAGGAAACTGGATTCATACCCCGCCCTTCACTACCCAAAGGAATCTTAGAGCAGTTTACAATCTCCTATCCCTTCCCCTCCCCATAACAGACACCCTGTGAGGTAGGTGGGGCTGAGAGAGCTCTTTTGAGGACTACTCGTGAGAGAACAGCTCTGAGAGAACTTCTGATTGACCCAAGGTCGCACCAGCAGCTGCATGTGGAGGAGTGGGGAATCAAACCTGGTTCTCCCACATTAAAGTCCACGCTCTTAACCACTACACCAAACTGGCTCTCATCAAACCACTACATCAAACTGGCTCCTTGCCCTAAGCACTTCTCCCCTCCTCTAATCAAGACACATTTTGCTTTGTACCTCTGCATGCTGACTCCCTTCTTTGCAGCACCCCTCCCACATTCTGACTGGGATATAAGTGTTCAGGGATCTCCATTCCTACTTGTATCTGAGGAAGGGAGTTTTAACTCTCAAAAGCTCATACCCTGGATATCTCGTGGGTCTTTCAGGTGCTAATGGACTCAAATCTTGATATCCTAACCACAACGACCGCTTTACGGAACTTAATAAAGGCAATCCCAAGTTGTTGTACTATCTCTCCCAAAATATGAGCACATTTCAAAGTCTGCAACAAACCCAATTGCAAACATAACTGATCAGATTATCCTGAATGCTTTTACAGCCAACACTGTCTGCTCACAGGATTTTTATTCACTTTTTTAAAAGGCAGTACAATTGCGGAAGGAAAAAAAAATGAGAGGGGTCAGGACATACTGGAATTCAGCAACACTGAACCACAGCCACATGCTGGCAAGTGGATTTCCCACACTGATATTACAACCGTTCAGAACTTGTCTAACTTTTAATAGGATAAACAATACATACAGTCTGAATAATATGCAGGATATCCTCTTAGTAAGACAGGAAGTACACTATGTCAGCCTCATCACTATAGTATCTGAGAGCCTTCCAAGCATTCCATAAGCAACAATATTATCCTCTGTCACACTGAAGTCTGTGTTGCACATCAAAATCCTGTCACTCAGAACTAATGAGAAACCTGAACCCAAATCCAGCCGCTTAAAAAACAGACTTTACAAGTTAACTTGAGATCTTCATGCTTACATAGAAAAGGAAATTTGCCATCAGTCATCATATCTCACCTGTCTTGCCAATGACATCTTGGGACAAAAGAGTTCAAAAGCTAAGTGAATGAAGACCTAAGAAAAGTCTGCCATCCGAGCTGGAAGGCACAATAAACTCCCTTACTCAGTAGCATCTGCCCAGTAGTCAGACAAAGAGATGTAAGGAGGTGTCCCCCAACCTCAGTGAACATGATGTAAAAGTTCTTTGTAAACTCAAGACGCCAAACACACCACCAGAGCTTCAAACATTTAAGTATGTCTGATTACAATCTGAACTTGAAAGGAAGGGAGAAAAAAACACCTGATCTGTTCAGGTAAGAAAGATCTGACAACTATTACTCAACACAGAAGACAACACAATTATCCAGGGGGGGAAAGAGACATATTTTGCTGTTTAGCCCTTTAGTTAATTGTAAATGTTTAGTCATTAGACTGAGGTGTGTCTAAAAAAGAAAAAAGAACAAGCAAGAAATAGACAGGAAGATCCTAATACTAGTGCATTTTTCCAAACAGCAAAATATGATCTGGATGCCTTACCACACAACACATATATAAATTTGCTACTTAGACATAGCTGTGATGCTCAAAACCTCTCACCAGTACAAATCCCTTTCCGTATCTCCGCAACGCATATCTTAGTGCCCAGACTCCCACCGCACGCTAGACAGATAATAAGTCATAAACTCACCTCATCAGCGCTCAACTCCTCCATTGTTTTCCTCTTAATGGTGAAAGATGTTGGGGGGAAAGGGGTGCTCTGTAAGTCTGAGTGGTGTGCTTTCAGGAAAGAGACTTCTAGGGAATTCCTGTCCTGCTGCCTAATTCCTTAGGGATGTCTCAAAATTGCATAGTCAGAGGTTAAGAGTAACAGCAAGGAACACGCTTCCCCCCTTGCACACACAACTTCCTCTGCTCTGCCTGTTCAACGAGGGAGCCTCACACTCACAAAATACCCTCAAGCCAACCCACTCTCAACACCTGAACCTCCGGATATTTCCCTTTCCTGTCCCTCTCCCGCAACCCCAGTTTTGAGCCCCTCCTTCCACAGGCACCCCAACTCTTCAGCAACCCTACAGGTTTCAACCTCCTTTTCTTTAGCCTCTGAAAACAGCTGCCCCTCACAGCCTAACCAAAGCCACCCCCTATCCTAGAGACCAAAAGTTGTCTCCAGTGTTATCTCCCTCCTTCTTGCTGCCCTCGAAACACACAAAGGCAACCAAGCCTCCTGTATACCCTTTGGCTTACCGGCTCCCCCACAATCTACCCTAAACCCACAAGGCTGGCACAACGATTGTACCTTAAAGACCCCTGGTGCTTACTGCAGCCTATATCTCTCAAGCCCCCAATTGCACAACGCCTGTTCGCTTGCTGTCTCCTGTGTTCCCCGAACCCCCCACTGCAGGCTGCCTTCCGTGTAGCCCACAAACCCTATTGCTCCCATAGACCTATACATGGACCTCTCTCCCTTCACTGTAACGCCTCAGCTGCCTGCTGGCCCCCGGTAGACCCATACACACGAACCACGGCGCCTGCTGCCGACTATGTTACACGAGCTGCCTAACTGCTGGAGCCACAGTTTCTCCCCTGCCCCTCACTGGCAGCCACAGTCACCCTACAGCTTCCCCGTCCTCCTCTTCAAGCCTTCGAGGAGCCCGCTTAGGCCACAGAAAGAGGGCAAGACCCAACCCCAGCCCGTGCCCTGAGCCGCCCAATGCCACCACTAGGGCCCCCCACAGGCTGCGCCCCCTTCTTCTTCTTCCTCCTCGGCCGCTGCTGCTCCTGCCGCCCCGCACAGATTATTCATCAAAACAAGGCGGCGGCGGCCATCTTGCGTCGGATCACGTGACTCCCTCCTCCTTCTCCGCCTCCTCCCCGCTTCGCCTGCCGCCCGCGGGACGCGCGCCACGCCAACGCGCACGCGCGCCGAGCCGGTGACCCAATGGAAAGGCGAGGGGCGGGAAGTTCTTTTCCCTCTCCGCCATCCCGCCCACCCAACCCCCCTCCCCTCCCGAACACACCGCCG